AGAGGTCTGCTGTGCCATGTAGCTCCTTGGCGAGCTGGGGATCCAACTCATGCAGCAGTGGCTGGTGATAGCTTGATAGTGCTGCAACTTAATCCCTTGCACTACCAGGGAGGCCCTGTCTTCAATTCTTAAAGAGGGCATGAGTTAGAAGCTCATTGTTTACAACCTGGAAAATATTCTTCTATGACTGGTTCTCAAATAATCCTTCACTGTTCTGAAGAGAACCAGTACAGGTGCCTCGGTAGAGGTAGGGAGCACTCAGGTTTGTTTCCTGCCCACTCCCATCTCAGCACCTTTATCTGCTGTCACAAAGTCTGTAAAGCATCAACGGTGAAGTTGGAGAGTGCAGGTCCTCAGATAACAACATTTTTTTCTCATGTCTGCCTGGATTTTCTACCAGTTTTTAGGTTTCCTCCCACATCCCAAAGATGTGCACATTAGGTCGTTGATTTGTCTAACTTGTCTCAGTCTAAATGAATGTGGATGTGAGTATAACTGCACCTTGTGCTGAAAGGACTTCCTGCCCAGGGAGGGGTCCTGCCTTGTACCTAGACCTGCTGGAATGTGATCCAACAACCCACAATCCTTAACTGCAACAAGTGGGTTAAAAAAATGAATGAATGCAAATGATTATTTCATATTAGAAATATTTTTGGGTTTTTATAAGTTTGGTGATGTTTTTGTCACTAAAAATATGTGATAGGAACCTTAGTCTTGCTTATGTAAAATTGGTTTTAACATCAATTAGTATCCAAGAGGATATCCTAATGGACAGTCTCTATCAGTTCTATTAGCATGGAGGAGAAGGAAAAATAGAAGGAAAATTTCAAACTAGAGCTCTGGGGAAGGAAGAAGGGCTATTTTTGACTCCTAGGTGGAGAAAGCCAAACTCATATGAAGTTTATACATTAGTCAACTATATGTGAATTAAGAATTTCTTAAGTGTAAGCTATATATATATATATATATATATATACACACACACACACATATTCATTCACACATACATATATATGTGTATATATATTTATTGTAAGGAATTTACTTGCCTGTTTTCAAGTTCTAACAACTAAGATAGTCAATCAGGTGACTTGGCCTGTTTCATATAATGAGAAGTAACTGACTGAGGAAGGAATCTGGGTTAATTGGTTGTTATTGCTGGATTTTGTTGAACTAAAGCACAAACTGTGGTGTTACTGTTATGGTAAGCAAAATATCACAGACTGCATATGGGAAAACTAATCGATCTCAGTTTAAAATATACTATCAGAAGAGCTATAGATATTTTAGCTTCAAATATATTACATGTTTTATTAAGTCTGTTAGAAATAATTTCCTATGAAGCAAATTGTTTGTTTCCATTTTATTAAAATAGAAGGATGACTTTAAAGTAGATTCAATTTTCTCAGAGAAAAAGGAAGGTTTTTCTCTTGACAAAAGAGAAATTTGGGAGAAATGAAAAATCTAGAAAACTAAAGCTACATGTAGAACTTAATCTGTTACTCTGCACTAATATCCTTAATGAGGAAATCCAACCATCATTCTGTATACTTTCTGTATACTCTTAAAAATCTTAAGATTGAGAGCACATTGTAAAATAATTTTCTTGACTGTATATGTTTATTTTCACAGGTCACTCTTAAATTTTAGCAGTCAGATAATACTTTATAATAATAAACTTGAGAGCTATTCTATCCTGAAAACGATGAGTTAGTAGAATTACACAGATTAAGAACTTACTTATTAATAGAAATAGGACATTTTAATTATTATAGAACTGTCAAACATCATATATACATATATACATATATATATATATATATATGTTATTTACCTGCATCTTGAGGCGAGGTCTTCAAAATAGAAGGTGGTGATTCTTAGAGATTGTGTCTTTGCAAGATGGCTAAAGAGAATAATCAAAAGTATAGACTGTACTAGCAGATTAATCACATTGCCCTTTTGATCCTTGGTAATCAGTAACCAACTATGAAATACACTCACCAGTGCAGGCAACTTTCCTATAGTCTTAGGAGAGGATGTCTATGAAATCTGTTTAATGTTGGAAAGAATTACCTTAGCTAAGAAGACACGAGCCAACAACAAGGGTATTAAATACACTCAGTACAGTATTTGACATTCTGTTGGAATTATTATGTCTATCAGAGACTTCTGGAGACTTACAGAGCTGTGCACTGTACCGGTGATGTGTGATAGTTGCTCATTCTGGCTAGCAAGAGCCAATTTTCAGGAATTCTGGCAGCCTATTGTTAAACATTGTCAAGCTTATAAATTATATTTTTCAGCTGACTGAGAACAATGCTAATTATTCCAAATGTACCCCTTCTTGTTTATTTTTTCTACACATGCTATGTGGGGTGTTGCTGGACATTAACTCCCAACTCCAGGCTCAGTCATATCCTGGTACTTACTTCAAACTTGCCATGGTGTGAGTGTTTACTCCACTAAAATCAAAAGACTGATTTGTTGTTTTGTTGCTTGTCTACTCTAGACTTGGAGTCAACATGCTGGAGAAAATGTTAATACTGTAAAGTAAAAACTTTTGTGATTTGTAAAATAAAAGCTTGTGACTTGCACAAACAGATGGAATATTTTTATCTGGCAATTTATTTTGATTTATTACAACAATTTACAGGGCTTTATGAGAAATAATTTCACCACAACTAGCTATAAAAAGTGTCATTTCAGTTTAATTTTAAAAGATGAAGTTCATTTGAATGATTTCCAGGATTTTGTAGGTAATCATACAGAATCAAACAAAGTTCCAATCCCTGCAATTATGCAAAAAGTTAAAGAACACTATCATAATCTTTTGTCCTGAGGCTGAACTAAATTTCAGTTCAATGAAAACATTTTCAAGAATGATTTGATGACATCCAGTTTATTGGGAAAGTGTTAGTGCACTGGGTGCAACTCCATTTGTGAAATTATGGTCAAGTTCTAACTGTAGGTTGGCTATGGATGAAAAAGTTTGAAATCAAGAAAAAGATTCCATGAGAATCAACTGGTATATGGAACTGACAGTAAAAAGTATTAAATATTTTATTATTTGTTGATTTACTCTTGTAAATTATCCCTAATATCCCTGAACATTGGACCTATTGGTGCTAATGCCTTTTGATTTCATTTTCTTAGTGTAGACTGGGTGACATAAGACTGGTTGCCATGAACCTATTAGCATCAACAGATCATAAACCCTAGATATAGGCAATAATGATATGCTTTTTCCTCATAAGAACACAGACATAGGGACCTCCCTGGTGGCACAAGGGATTAAGAAGCAACCTATGAAACAATTCGTAGCCACTGCAGCATGAGTTCGATCCCTGGCCAGGGAGCTACCCACACAGCACAGTAGACCTCTCCTGACTCGCCCACTGCTCCCCTCAGCAGTGTATTTCAGTTGATCTGCCTGTTTTGCTCCCCACTCTGTCTCTGGTGAATTCTCTCACCCCCCCCACACCTCTGGTCTACATCCCAGTTCTCGAGTGCATAAATAAATAAATCTTAAAAAAAAAAAAAAAAAGGAACACAGAGAACACAGACACGGGAGGCAAGGTTCAGCTGTGTAAATGAATGTCATATACTGAATCATAAAAGGGCCTTTAGGTAAAAGTGGCTTCAGAGTTACCCTGAGAAGTTTCATAGACAGCATTAACATCAGAGAAAAGTGTAATTAGGATCAGGGAGAGCTATTCAGCAATGCGAGCACATAAACAAACATCCTAACCTCCCACCACACACAAGCAGGAGTCCAGGCCATGGACTCTATCTGCCCAGTCTCAAGGCAAAGTATGACTACTGTTGGGGTGAATGCTTTGAGCTCTCACACTCTGAACTCATAGCACTTTCAAACCATAACTTCATTTCTTTGGGTCTGTGCTGTGTGTGTGAGTCAATCTCTGGGTGAGTCTTCACTTCTTGTGAGGATTAGTTGCATTCTATTGATTTAGCTCAACATGTCTGGTGATAGCTCTTTCACAAGTTAAATTCATACAATGGTGCATAGTTTAGGAGTCTTCAAGCGTATTAATATCATGTATATATGGCATTGAATGTCATGTACTGGATCATAAAAGATTCTTTAAAGGATTCTTCAAAGGTTTCACAGAAGACATTTGCATCATGCATATATGTTGGCTGTTTGTGTGTGTGTGTGTGGGTGGGTGGTGGTACACACATCACTATATGTGAGCTTCAAGTATACAAATATCCCACTCCTGAGACAGTTCTCATTGTGATAATACCCTGTGTTCCTGAAGTTTTAGTCCCAAGACAAACCCTGGAGATCTTCCTCACTCCTTTCTAGACCAGAAGAAGCTTTAGCAAACCTCCTGGTTGCATTTCTATCATTTGACCCATTTGACCCATTCTTAGAAAAGTACACATGGAGTGGATTTGATCTGCACACATGGCCAGTTTCCACACAAACTAGTAATTATACAAACAATTGCTGATTTTCTTAAATGACACAATAAATAATTAAAGAAAACTAACATACATAATGCTTTCTGATGATTCATAAAGGAGAACGTTCACATTAAAAAAATACCTTAAAATATAATTTAGTTCACTTTAATTAAAATTAGACAAACAAAGGAAAATTATGGCAACAATTTCTTAGTGTGGGTTCAAAATATGACTACTGAGACTATTTTTATAGTCATACTTCTAAGAGAAAGATACTATTTCATGATAAAATAAGACAAAATGGTGACTTTTACATAATTACAATGCCTCCTTGTCCCCCTTTTATAATCAAAACTTGATGCCAAGTACATAATGCAAAACAAGAAAAATAAGACTAACCACTTTAATGTTGTATTTTATTACTTTTTAAAATTGTACAAAGAGTGCATGTGCATGAGTTAAAAAAAAACACAAGGGAAACACAGGGTGTTAAAAAATACAAAAGAAATTTGAGACATGAAACAAAAAAAATTGTTTTGCAAACCAGAATAAAGACAATTTGCCTACTAAAAAAGTGTTATTCCAATATATTAAGAAGTGTTTTGATTAGGAATACAGCACAAGACTTTTCTGCAACTATTCATTAACAGATTAGACTCAGTCTCAGTGAATACAGGATAGATCAATACATTATCTTACCAGCCACAGCAGACTACTCAGTAGATGTGGATATGGTACAATGTCTGTGAGGTATTACAATATAAATTCTTTTCAGCTATTCAAACTCAGCAATGGATGTCACCATTTCAATTTTCAGTTGGAAGACCTCATCGCCAGTTTCTTTTCTCATCTGTGAGAGTTTTTCACACTAAGAAAAAAAAAAAACACAAAAATATTTGTGATGAGGTATTAAAAAGCAAAATGCTACATTTTGTTGTATGTTTTTCTAACATAGTCTGTGGACTGAAAATGGGCTGTTTTTGCAGACACATAAAGGACCATGGCTATGGTAACACAAGAATTTCCTTTAAAGCATTTCAGGAAAGGGTCAACTATTAACATGCCTACATTTTTGCTTTATGTCTCAACCACTGCCATGGAATGAAAGAGCTAACGTATGCTGAGTACTGCTAGTGCAGACAATTAGCCATGATTCTGGCTACATCTGCTGACAGCTTGCACCTATGCTGGCTTCTCAATGTCTGTGTATCCATCTACCACTTTTTCTTTTTTTAAAAAAAAATATTGTATTATTCTTATTGAGATGTAATTGACATATAATATTGTATTAGTTTTAGATGTACAACATAATGATTATATATATTGTGAGGTGATCCCTAGAATAATGCTAGTTAACATCATTACATTACCATTTATGGTGACAAAATTTTTTTCTTGTGATGAGAAACTTTTAAGATCTATTCTCTTTTCACTTAAGTAATTCAGCAGAGTAGTTGCAACTACAATTTTTGTCTATTTGCCTTGTATTTCTGAAGTTGAAATGTTTTTCTTCGATGAGTTGAAGGGTTGATTGATTGATTGATTGATTTTTTGAGGGATGCGCTGGTGATGGGAGAGCTATGGTGACCACACTTGAAGGGAGAAATGCTATACTCTCAAAATATTAACAAGGATGTAAAACAATGATACCTCATGAATAAATGAATTAAATTTTTAAAAAAGATTTTAAGGATTTAACAATGTGTCCCACCTGAGGCACGTCGAGCCCTACTGCTAGAATGACAGCTTTCATTTTGGATACTAGAAAACATCTGAGTTACATCCCAGTGCAGGACTATAGTGGATTGATACCAGACTAGGTGGGTCTAAATCCTAGCTCTGCTACTTGCTATTTTTGTGACCTTAGACAAATTAATCATCCACTTAGTCTCACTTGCCTCAAGTATAAATGGAGACAATAGCAACACCACATTTCATAGGACTGCTCTCCTATTAGTACACATAAGTTAGGGTTTGCAAATTAAACAATGACTGACACAGAGACATTCTGGCTAAACATGAATGAATTATTCTTATTCTGCAGAAATCTGGAACTCTGGGGAATTCATACACAGAGAATTCAGAAGTCAGATTTGGAATTTATACTTCATAAATTTATACCTATACTGAAAATGTTAAATTTTACATTAATAAAATTTGACTGAAGTTAATGTAAATAAGACAAATCTGGCTATATGCTTAGATTCATATATTTTGAATTTTACTTTGAATCTACTCAAAGAATGTACTTTGTTGTTGTAGTTTCATTTTTGACTTACTTCAACAAAAGTACTACTCATATTTCTAAAAGTGGTTTTTCACTGTCCTGCTTTTCTTCAGCATCTTCTTCAGATCCTACATCGTAGAAAAGGGGGAGGAGAAAGGAATAATATCCCATTAAAGTAACAAATGATTTATTTACAATTATAATATACATGCACAATATTTTATTTATTTTAAAGATTTATTTATTTATTTTATACAAGAACGGGGTACAGGCCAGATGCGCGGGAGGGTGAGGAGGATTCAACAGAGACAGAGCGGGGAACAGAACAGGCAGACTAACAACATACAATGCTGAGGAGAGCAGCGGGTGTGACAGGAGAGGTTTGCCGCGCCATGTGAGACCCTCGCCAGCTGGCTGGGATCAAACCGGCACTGCAGAGGCTGCGGACAGCTTCACAGGGCTGCGCTTAACCGCCTGTGCCACCAGGGGAGGCCCAGGCATAATATTTTAAATGGGATGTTAATCAAGAAATTTAGGTTAACAAAACTTCACCTGTAAATAGTTTTATTTTATTTTATTTTTTTTGTGGAGAAAAAACCTTTAAAATAGGCTCTAACATTTGCTCTAATCTGTCGAAAAGGATACTGTTTATGTACTACTAAAAATATTCACGCAAACCTAGAATTACCATCCCCTATAGGAAGCTTTACTATAGAGAACCTTCTTTTCTAAGCACATTAATTCCAATTACGGTTTTTAATTTCATTTCTTTCCTAAGTGGAATTTTCAGGCAACAGAAATATAATATAAACTAAGCTCTTTAAAATACTCTTTCTCTGCCCACCACAAATCTGCATTTGTTGTCAATACAGTCACCCTGGGGAAGGATTCTTGTGCAGCTTATTTGCAATGGAATGGTAATGCTTCTGACCACCACTAGGTGGTAGTAAAAGTCACAGATGAGAAGTCGGGTTAGAAACAAAGTTAAGTGAAGAATCCCTGAGGAGGTATTCCTCAGGTTAGCATTATGTTCTATTCTGAATTTCTAATTAGGAAACACATTAACGCTGAGAAATTTTTTTTTAAAAGGGAAGAATTAATTTTTTTAAAGATTTATTTATTTATTTATACAAGCACTGGGTACAGTTAGAAGCACGGGAGGGTGAGAGAATTCACCAGAGCCAGAGCGGGGAGCAGAGCAGGCAGAAGGACCGAAGCACACCGCTGATGTGGGGAGCGGCGGGCAGCAGGAGAGGTCTGCGCGCCATGTGGGACCCTCCTCCGGTGGCCGGGGAGCAGCGGGGATCAAACCGGCGCTGCAGAGGCTACCCAGCGCTCAACCACTGCGCCACAGGGGAGGCCCAACACTGAGAAATTTTTAATTAGTCTTACGTAAATAAAGCTATACAAAGCATGAACTATACAACACAAATTTTCTTTTTTGAAAAAGAATGAGTCCTATTCTGGGTTCGGCTCGTTGACAAATTATTTCATCTGACTCATTTTGTGTTTTATATTCAACTAGTCCAGGCATCCAGTTACTTGGAGTTTCCCTAGCGCCACAGATTACAATGCTATGCCCTTGATAAATCATAGGGCTCTTTCTGTCTAACACCTATTTTACTCTACAGACATTCTACTTATAATGGTTCTATATACAGCTTTTCAACTTTACAATGGTGTGGAACCGGTACAATTCAGTAGAATGAATGTGTCTAGTGACACGCTGTAGACATGCTGTAGTGTCTTTTCTCGTCTCGTGACATGCTGTAGAATACTCATGATGCTGTACAGGTCAGCTCCCAGTCAGCATCACGGATCACCAGAATAAATAAGCAATACCCTATGGTACTGTGTTGCCAGCCTAAGTGTTCTGAGCATGATTAAGGTTAGGTTAAGCTGTTTGATAACTTGGGTGTGTAAGAGATGTATTTTTACTTGTAGTAATTTCAACTTACCTTGGGTTTCACCCCATCATAAGTTCAGGAAGATCTATATTGTATGTGTTTGTGTTTAAAATATTTACTAAGCTTATTACTGGGAATGAAATAATGTAGTTAGTACCTAACTCAAATTTATATCCTAGAGGTAGAAACAGTCCAGGTCATTGCTGAAGACACTGCAGATAATACAAGATGATAGGGCTGTGGAAAAGGTCCTAAAAACTTATGTAAAGGACACCCTACGTGCAACTGAGAAGCAGGTGAGGGTGGGGAAAGAAGCCTTTTGAACATGTTGGTGACAAGGACTGCAGATGGATAGCATTAAAGATAGTAAAAGCAAGATGCACAATGGTTTGTGGGTACTGGTACACATCATTTTCAGAAAAGTTAAGAAGTGAATATATGGAGATGGTTACCAAGAAGAGAGGTTGGACAATTGGGTAAGAGTGGTCACAGGCGTACCTTCTGCCAGGCTAAGGATTTATGACTTTCTTAGTCTTTTATGGCACTGAAGGTTTTTGGGCAGAGAAAAGAATATGATCAATTATGCATTTTCATTAACACTGAAAGGCCATATATTTATTAGCTATAAGTAGGGACCCTAGCTCTGGAGCCAGAGTTCAAATCTTAGCTCCACCTCTTACTCTTTGTGTGAAGTTAGACAAATTACTTCACCTCTCTGTGCCTCAATTTGCACATTTCTAAAATAGGGATAAAATAGGTTTTTTACGTCATAGAATGGTTATAAATAACCCTGAGAATATACAGCAATTATTTTTAACATGGTATTTTTAACACAGTATTCTGGTGACTGGTTACAAGAAGGCAACTGAGGCAGGGAGACAGGAGGCTGTTGCAGAAACTGAAATAAAAAAATACTGAATTGATGATGGAGATATTAAGTAGTATAATTTGAATGAGATAAAAGAGGCACAAATAGAGGAAAACAGCTTGGCAATTTATGGAATGTGAGCCTTAAAAAGGGAGCTGAAAAAATAAATAAATAATTGAAAAGGTGCTGACTTCCCAGTGAGGCTCTGTTTTCTCACCTGTGTAACACAATGGATAACACTGCCATTCACAAGACATGGGGAATCTTGGAGGAATTTGAGTTAAAGGGAGATAATAAAAAGAGCATCAAAACCTTTTCCTACCTGTCTTCCAAGAGGCAGATGATAAACCACAGTGTCTATGACCCTCTATTACATTTATTTCACAATTTGTGTCTCACCACTGGTAGCACATCAAAACCATGCCTTAGTAAGGGCCTGGTAGTTAAGTGTTTGCTACATGTACTGAGATGTAGATGCATAAAGAGGAGGGAGGCAAAACTTTTGAATGATGGGCAAAAACACAAATGACAAATTTTTACCTGCTTCAGATTCAGGAGGAGAATAAAACTGACCATCAGAAAGACCACCAGGTATAAGTACAGCACGCTCTGAAGCATCCTGAACTATCAGGAGTCCTGGAAGAGAAGAAATTCAGTGGCTGGGGATGACGTCACCATCTGGATAGCTTCTTGGTAAAATTAACCACAATAAAATGATAGTATTATATTAAAAACACTCTTAGCAAACAGAGGTACTTTTAAAATCTTTCAACCAAAAAAATTTTTTATTAATAAACCATGAAAAAAGTCCTGGAAGGACAGATTCCAACTAGTTTTAAAAATTGCCTCATGCTACTCATGGGATTTTCTGACTCAGAATTCACAGCACCTTTCCCTTGGGAGTACCTACCTCCATACAGAAAACAACATCATCATCAAAATTAAAGCAGTGAGAAAAACAAAACGTGAGCACATACAAATGATCTGGAGTCTGCATTTGTTGACAGATGTAAAGCATTATAAATGGATAGTCTTTTATAAATATATAAAGATTTAAGATGGTGATTTATGCAATATAAAAGTCACCCCATAAAAGAAGTGTATTTAAAAAAAAACAAAGAAAGGAGAAGGAAGCATGATGTGGATGGCACACGAACACTAACACAGACGAGAGAGATCATCAACAATGAGTTGTTTTGACCAAAGCAGCAGTTCAAACAGCAGGTGCCAGTTTATGTATGTAACATATATTACAAATAATGATGATAAATGCTACTTGAAATTTTTCATTGTGTGCTCTGTTTTATTAGCTTCTTTGATTTAGCTTAATCACTAAGCATGGAAGCTTTAGTCACAGTAGTTGCCAGGCTTTCAATAAAATTCAATTTGATTTTTATATACGATTTTTCGAAAAAGTGACTTCCATTAGTTTTACAACCAGTGTCCATAATACATTTTCATAAAGGAACAGAAGGTATGGTGTAGAGGACATGGCTTAGACTGATTAATACGTGCTTTCTTTTTAACAATTGTTTATTACAGTATTAAAACAAACAACATAAATAAGACAGCCTTTTAAATAAATAGATAAACAAGTAACATTTTCCATTTATAATCAACAAACGAAGTTTGGAGTGATACATCAAGGTTGTGCCCCCAATGACTTTTTTTTTAAGATTTTTTATTTATTTAGTTATGCAATAGCTGGGGTACAGGCCAGAGGCGCAGGAGGGTGAGACAGAGTGGGGAAAAGAACAGGCAGAAGGACCGAAGCACACTGCTGAGGGGTGCAGCAGGCGAGACAGGAGAGGTCTGCCACGACATGTGGGAATCTCCCGGGCTGGCTGGGAATTGAACCGGCACTGCAGACACTGCGGACAGCTTCACAGCGCTGTGTTCAACCCACTGTGCCACCAGGGAGGCCCCCCAATGACTTTTTTTTAAGGGTATTTCATATACTTTTTTTTTTCCTAATAATCATAAAGTTCAATCATCTGTCTTTCTCATTAACATCTAGGAATACCTAAAGTCACACAGAGTGATTATAACAGCTTTGCTTGACTCATGATTATAAAATCCTACTTATCCTTCAACTACTACTCAGAGAAGGATGTTTACACCTGAGATGGCTGAGCATTTTCTGGCTTGCTTTCCTCCTCCTCTGAATTCCATCTTAATCATTAACCCATCAACAGCCCTGCTTTCGGCACTCAACTGATATAATTACAGCTCATTCAAAGCCAACACCTGCTATATGGACAATAATGTGAGAATTTGGGTGATGAATGATTTTTATTCAGAATTGCTATCTCAACTCACCTAAAACTGGTTTACATTTCTTTGTGACTAAGTAACATAGTTATTTGGATGGACAAAATGCTTACTGTTCTATGACTATTATTAAGAAGGAGAAAACATCAACCTAAGAGAGAGGTGTTGGTTATTTTGTTGTTTGAATGTCTTCTTTACTATTGTCCACACTTTCTTCCAAGGAAGCCTGGCCTAACAGCTAGAGCGAAGAGCCACGTAACTATACTTTCATCTAACTCTTTCCATTTCTGCTGTCCCCACTGAAGAATGAAGACACCGAGGCCTGACTAATAACCACCTGCTGCTCTATTCAAATCAAGGCATCTATTTCTTTTCTTTCCAGTTAGTACCTAGTCAGTCACAAGAGACTAACCTAGAAAGAAACTTACTGTTTTCTTCTTCAGCTTCTTGAGGTAACACTTTGAAATCCAGGAACCATGTCTCAATCCAGGCAAGTATGAATGAAATGATGGGCAGCACATAGCCAAAAGCCCCTTGAGAGAAAAGCTAGAACAGATGTGACCAGAAATGGAAATGCAATTATCATATGTTCATACTGGAGAATGAGGCCTCTTCATAGATGGTAGTTATACAGAGTGGTAGGCCATACCTTTGAGAGGATCACTTTTGCTAGTAAAAAGGCACTGGTCACTGCTGTTGTCAACTGAAAGACATACAATCCAGTACCATTCAAATTACACATTTTATGTTGTGAAGGCATATTCCTCACACACAAAACCCACCTGAGCCAAAAGCACATAATATCTGAAAAAGCTATGCCTGGCCTGGCTCCTTCTTCTACCTCTATCTCTATCCCCAACTCTACCAACTAAACCCTGACTGGGGCAAAGTGAGCTTCTATGTGCCATACAACCCCTGACTGGCTACTTCGGGTTTCCTTACCCCCACGTTCAAGCATGCAGGTGAGCTGGGAAATTAAGTTTTGTCCACCAGGGGGTACAATTTGCAAAGATACTAGCACCACATAAGGATGGTGCTCTGCAGTGAAATGCAGAGTCAGGGCATGCCCTAGGTCTTGGTATGCTCGGAGATAATCCCACAGACCCTGGGCCTCTCATTCCATCCTCCAATGAAGACTTGTAGCAATAAGAAACCTGGCCAAAATGAATGACAACAGTAGACTTGACTGAGAGAATGGATGCAGGGGACATTAGGTGTCATGCTCAGTAAGTATTAACAAAGTTGCAGAGTCAGTATTTGTTAGCAAAAAGACCACCAACCAACACACATACAAACACACCCTCTGCAGAGTGAGCTACCTGTAAAGGACGTATTTACATTCTGATACTAGTTAACTTTACAGGCTCTTTAGATGATCTTTAGGTATCAGCTGACTTTTCATTTCAGTTGCCTCTCTGCAAATGTTTTTGAATGCAAGAATCAGAAACAATAAAATGGATGTTAATATGAGCAGTTCCTTTGATAATCTGAACTTTGGTATCAAAGATACTATCCAAAATTCTCACTGAATATCTCTATTTGAACCACTTTTCTGAAATGAACATTGAGACAGATTACCTCACAAATACTAGTATACATTATTATTAAGAGTCTGGAATATCAATGTCCTAAACAGGGACTTCTGTAGAAAATTGAGATGGGACAAAAGAATTTGGTTATTTGACAAAAGAATCTAGGAAAGGGAGTCCAGTCTGACTAAAACGGTTAGTCTACACATGACAAATGTGGGTTTGGGGCTCAACAGAATCAGGCAGAACTGCTTGAAATTTTCTTTCACTTCACTATGCATTTATTAAGGGTGAACACATTTGCCAAAGCTCTATGCTAGATATGAAGAAAGATGAGCAAAATCACCACTGCTTTCAAGAAGCCCAAAGGTAACAATAAAAAGGAATAGAGGTGTATTCCCCTTAAGATTGGAGAGAGGGGAATAAAGTAGGGAAGAAGTCAATTATCAAAATAAGCAGAGAGCAAGTTATATATATATATAAAAAAAAAATCACCAGCAGTTTCAACCAAACAAGGAATTTTTCAAATATCTTTGTGACAGAGGTACTGATCTCATCTCTCATTTGCAAAATTAGGTAGAGCTATGTTGGTGCTTGGTCAATAATCACTTTTGGGTCTCTGAATTCCTCATTTGGTTCCATATACATACAAAGATCATTATTCATTACAACTGAAAAGAAGCCCTGGAGTGTTAAAGCTACTGAAGTGTAGGGGAAGGAGTCTCAGGAAAAGCTAGTGGAATTCAACCCAAATCAACCCTGCATTTTCTCCCCGCTCAGCCCTGCCCTGATCAGGTCCCCGCCTCGAGCGCCGGAGAAGATGAACCACTCACCTAGGCAAAGGGCATACTCACCGCTATTGCCCACCAGTGGCGCAGTCTGCATACAGCATATGCAAGTATTAACACTTTAAATCGAAACACTGCCAAAAGCTATATATATAAACAAAGAGAAACATTTTGGTAAACATATACTAAAGTAAAGCAATTTGGTTTTATGAAAACCCCATCAAACTGTCTTCATTATTCTGACTTATCTGAAGGCTGCCACAGACTGGCATTGATTGGTCTTTAGACTAGCATTTAGGATCGCTGTTCTAGAATTTATGCAATACCATCCAAAAATGAATTCAAATTATGTCCCTATTATTATTAAAATAGCTGTTTACTTTTCCTTCTTATTTCAGTCTATATATATTTCTGATATCCTTTAAAGACTGAGAAAATGTTCTAAAGGTTGACTTTTCCATTTTGGAAGACAGCAGGTTCTTAGTAAAGTCCTTGGCAAGGTCACTAGGTCTAGGTCACTAGGATGCTGAACGGGTTCTGCACATTTTAGTAGCTATCATCTGATTAATGAGGGTGGTTCAGAGACTTATGTGAGACCCTTTGTGTTCTGCTATCCCATGTAATCCCCACTCCAACCATCCCAGGAGCCAACTACCATTACACAGATAAAATGAATAGAAAAATCATCCAAGGTCACACAATAGGATTCAAACCCAGGCAGCTTGAGTTGGTATCAGGCTCTGAACTGCAAAGTGAAGCTGTCCTAATAATTCTTTCCTAGTAAGGAACACAGAACTATATTTCACCAATTTTTCTTGGAAAATGTGCAATGTCTCAAGGTAGAGTCTGCCAAAGTTCCTCACTCATCAAAACTGATGAAAAGCTGGATGTTGACAACTTATTTGCTTCCATTGACTAGATGACTTCATGATTCTTTAATGTAAAGGAAATTCACAGGTTGTTCCTTATTTTAATGTGCTGCTTTTATTTAAAATGTGTTATTCAACCATCTAGTATTTGCTTAGTTTCCTTATTCTATCTGCATTTTGGACTTGGCAAAAGTATGTCTTTATCCTCTGTCTCAAAGACAGATCCCAAGGATTCCTGGAGTCCACTTCCTAGGCCAACCATGGCAATCTTTCTAATTTGAGCTAATGGGCCCACCAACCTGTCCATTACCATTAACTCCCTAAGAATGGTGTACAGATAACCCATGGAGATCTGGCCAGTGGATTGATTTGGCTTCCTGGCAATTCCTGATTAAGGTTATTTTAAGATAAATTAGCAGAGAAATAAAAGAAAAAAGAGAAATCAGTTTGGATGCTATATGTCAATTGTTTTAGAAGAAATATCAAGATATTGGATCTACTACATTCTGCTAGCAACTTCAGTATCCTGGGATATGTCAAGACACTGAACCATGAGACTCAAATTCTTCATTTGGAAAAAGGAGGGGATTAAGTTATAGTAGGAGCTTCCTAAATATTCTGAAACTACTCAGGTTTCAAGGGAGTGACAAGAAACCCTGACCTTTCTTCACTGGGTGGGGATTCTACCTCTTTTCCCATACATAACTTCTGTGGGCAACTTCCAAAACAAAACAAATGATGATAGTGATTGCAGGTAACATTCTCTAAGCATCCTGGATGTATCCATCTTTGGGCCACGTGTTTTCCATGTATTATTTCATTTACTTTTCAGAACTATAACAATCTCATTTTACATGATGAAAAACTGTACTTTAAACCTATTATATTGAAGTATATACATTATCTGACAGTCAAAATCACAATGCATCCTGGAAAGACACTGTAAGCATTTGCTTGCATAAAATCCCTCATCAATATATAATTGCTTCTACATAGTTTTTAATGGTGCCCATTATTACCAATATGCAACTTTCCTCAAAAACTCCTTATAGAAAAATGAACATAGAATAATTATTAAAAGTATGCTCAGGTAGAAACTTATCAAAGGCAGAAATGGAATGGCATTTCCATTATGCTATTATATAAACAGGTGAAATTTCCTTTTGGTGATTAAGGGTATGTCTATGGGTATTTCATTTGAAAGAATAAAGGCTGTCCTCCAAGGAAGTCAGGATGGCCCTTTCTATTATCTGTCCTTATCTCTCAATTAATCTTCTCTTCCTTTGAGATGACCAGTAAATTGGGTGGAGACAGACAGCACTGAATGGGTCAGTAACTAAGGGAAAAAGGAAAGACAGTGTTCAAGGGAGGAAAAAAGAAAGGCACAGAATTTGAGGTTAATTACAAAGAAATCTTCCATTTAGTTTCATCATTGCTGAAATGAAATGTAAAACAGAAAATACTTACAAATATATCAAAATAAGAAGAGTAGTAGTCATACTGCACCACTTCCTTCTCTAATGCGTTCTCAATGCCTCCATTCACCTAGGAAGAAAAGAAGTAAAAACAAGAAATTTACGTGTGAAAATAATACAAGAGAACAATCATACAAATAAGGTTTCATATATACTTTCCTGCCTATCTTCTTAGAACCCAGAAATTCTGAAATATGGAGCAAAATAACCAGAATAATAGAGAAGTGCAAAAACAGCATCTCCCACTTCAATTCTGAATTTATTCAACAAAATAACAAATATATAGTGAAAGACAATGCCTTTTTGTAGTTCATATGGTGATAAACTATTAAAAAGAAACCTTTTTTTTTGTTTGTTTTTTTGGTGCCAAAACCCAAAAAAAGAAACCTTTTTGTAAATAAAATCTTCAATCTACAAAAGTATATTTTTGAAAATGACAATTTGTATTTGTTCAATGTTTCCCTCATTTTCTGATCACCCTCCACTGCTTTAGTTCTTAGAAGATCAAGGATCCCTTGCTAACAAGTATCAGTGAGGGCAGTGACCAAGACACAGGCTAGAAGTATAAAATTCTCCCTGGTTTTTCTATTTACTCCTCCTAGCATTTAAAAATACTGTACTCTTATAAATTATGTTGTACTATATAGACAACAAAATAAGGAATAGATAACAAAATTAAGAACTAAGTTACAGTAAATGAGGAAAATCACACCTAATAGGATAAATTTCTGTCCAATTTTCTGATCAAGATAAATTTTGATGTCTACATATCAAACTATAATTTTTTTCTTTTTTAATCAAGGAGAAGAACATATATTCAGCACCTAGTACTGTTCCCAAGCAGAGAGCATAACATACGTTAGGGCCCATGAATCAGCCCGATCATAGGCATGATTTACAAGTTTTCAATCTAGAGCACACTGTCTTTGCAAACTAAAGCAGCTGGTCTGAAAAGGGATAAATTGAAGGGCAATTAACCAAACTGACCTGGCTAAGAGAGAAAAAAAATCATTAAGGAATACCTTTGCAAGGTGTGCTCTTTGGTGAAATCAGAATAAAAGTTGCCACAAGGAAAAAATGCTTTTGGTTTAGTTTTCAAGTATTTGTTATGCAAGTGAAAGCATACTCTAAATGTGATTCCTATTTAAATCCCTTAAGATACAAATTTTTGCGTAATTGCTCAGGTTGGCTATAGAGCTGTTTGACTATGGATCTCCATAGATGAACAGAATTAAAAATTTGGCAGCTAAGAGTAATAATTATTAAAAATTATTTAGTCTCAATTGTTGTATCTCCAGACTAAAAATTTACACTATCCAAATTTTAAAAAAGGATCATTATTCCAAGTGGCCTTAGGGCAAAGAGGGGTTTCTAACCACAGAGAATACTTTCTGATGAAAAAAAATAGGAATCAAAGCTGCCAATAACTTTTCAATAGCAAGTAGAAAAAGGTTTTCTCTGGTATCTGCAAACTTTGAAAGACCCTGATTTTGTGCTACCTTTAAATAGAGAAATGTAAAACTCTACATCACTATCCTTAACTTGTACTCCACATTTTTACTTCAATGTCTCTAGCTCCTGATGTCCCAAAACATTCATCTTGAATTTCACAAGAAATCTTTTCCCAATCACAGTTCTGACAAAGCTGGTACTGTTCTTCCAGGATCCTTTATTAGAAATCTTAGTATCATCTTTTGACACAGAGGATGGCATAATAAGTCTATCAGTAAATCTGTTATTTCATCCTTTGATAATGTCTCTCAGGTTAGCATTTTCTTTTCTATTCCCACCACTTTACATGGGATTCCTTAAACAACTCCTGAGGTAGTTAATGTCCATCTGTTCCTAATTTAATACAATCTCCAAACCATTGTCATGATTTTACCTACCATTCACCAAGTATTTGAGTAGCTACTAAGTACAAACATTGTTCAAATACAAAAATACTTCAGTAAATAAAACAATGTGAGTTTATATTCTAGCAAGGGGAGAGAGATGACAGATAAGTGCTACACAGAGAAGGGAAGCTGGACAGTGTGACAGACAAATGACTGATTTTTTTGAGTGGTCATGGAAATCTGTGGTGACATTTAAACTGACTGACACCAAAATAAAAAGTTGGAGTCAGCATCAAGATAAAGAAAATTAATCATTTCACACAGAGGTAACGACTAGTATAAAGATCCAAGACAGATGAGAACTTGTTCATTTCTGAGAGCAGGAGGAGGCAGTCTGACGGATCCAGGTCGGCAAGGAACAGAGGGTGGAGAAAAGAGTGTGGAGACTCCTGGGCAATGACATAAGGCATTGTGTCATTTGTACATTATTTTAAGTGTTTTAAGAGATCAGTATGAAGAATTTTAAACAGTAAATTAGACTATTTGATTTATGTTTTTATTTTTAAGTCACTGTGCTACTCTGAAGAGAATGGATTATAGGAGAACAAAAGTAGAAGCAGCAGCAAATTAGTTCGGTACATGGTATCACAGAATGAGCAATAATGTTGGCTGTTGAAGGGGGAAATAACAAAAATGGAGAGAGGTCATGTTTTGAGTGTATTTTGCAGGTATGTTTGACAAGACTTACTTTTAGACTTGCTACAGAGAATGAGAAATACAAAAGTGAATCAAGTAAGGATGAGTCACTTTTGGCCTGACTGCCTGGGAACTGTTTACTGATGAAGAAAAAGGTGAAAGCAGATATATGTGTGCATGGTGTTGCAGGAGGAACATACTAAGTTAGATGTCCAAATGGATATAGCAGGTAGATCATTATATAGTACTTAAGTCATTACTTATTGGAAAAATCCTGAAACCATCATCTCTTATCTTCTCTAGAATCTTTAATAGCTTGTTGACGCAGTAAGTCCAAACACTTCTACACAGCTTTTAAGAATTTTAATAGTCTAGAATCAGCTTACTTAATGCAATTTCATTTCCTACAGGCACATTAATTTCTAGTTAGGCTATGATTTTCTTGGCCTCTGTCCCTGTACACACACTTACAGACACATACTCCTGCCTCGGTGCTTCTGTCTACCTTGATCTCCAAAACCTCTTCCTATGGTTCCCACAATTCAACCTTGAATAATCCTTTTTTCCAAATTCCACACTCCTTCCAAACCCAACTCACAATCCATTTCCTCTACTCACTACCTCAGATAATTCCAATCCCTCTCTGATCTCCATAATTTGAATTTATCTTATCTTTGGGCACAGAGTAACTATAAAACACAGTGACAGTAGAGTAATAAAATCAGAATCAGTGTGATAAATACCTGAAACAAAAATATAACAATAGTGAGAGAAAAATAACCAACATTTTTTTCTCTCTTTCTGGGGTGAAATTGTTTGAGTTAATAAATTACATAACCTATAGTTGTATAGAGTTCTATAATTGCTAAGGGGTTGCTGTATTCTTCTTTTCATTTGATCCTCACAAGAATTCAAAAGGAAGGCAAGATTGAAATTAGTCAAAGAAGTGAGAAACCAAGGTCCAGGGGACTTGGGACTTACATGTCTTACTTAAGGACACAGAGCTGGTCATGACAGCTATAGGTCAAACTAGTCACTTTCTGACACTTTCTGGCCCCCCAGTTAGAAAATAACAAAAATGGCAATAAACACTGATAAAGTTCTTTTGTGAAAGGAACATAATCTCAACCAAAGTATCAAAACAAAAACTAATTCTCTTCTATACTTAGACCCCTGTTTACTCACATTATTCTAAAGAGTCTAAGGGAGAAGAGCTTAGAGAGGAAGCAAAGCCCTCAAAGAATTCAAGTCATGGTGAATTTGAGAAATCAGTCTACTCAAAGGAATATCGACTGGATCTAGACAGAATAATCAGAATCATCCCTTCAACAGGCCCAAAGAAATGAGCTACCTTAAGTTTTTCAAAATGAAAATGAATCAGATGGTATTAGGCTTTTTTATGTTTGCGTAGGCACTGTCCTCCAGGCTGGGTTTGTACCAGTCAGCTCCTTGATCCAAGGAGGAAAAGGGACTAAGCTGGAGGTCATATATAAAGGCAGAGAATCTGGGTTAGTGATATGAATTCATAGACCATCTGGGTCCCCATACTTTTCTGAAGGCCTAAAAACCCTTTATGCTAATTCTTTAAACTACAAGCCAAGATAAGACAAGTATTCTTCCTCCTCTGCTAATCTTTAAAAATCGTATAGTTTTCTACTCAGCTTACAATATCTCAATCAGAGACTAAGCCTTGGCACTGAGCACTCAGTAAATATAAAGACATTTAAAAAAAAAACCAAAACAAAACAATGGGTTTGAGTCATTTGAGACTTACAAAGACAGACAACAAAAGAAAATTTATGGTGCAATTTGTAGTGAAAAAGTCAAGTTAGGATAAATAAGTCAAAACAAATAGAATTAAAATTAAATGTTTAAAAAAAAAACAAAAACCTTTTTTAAAAAGTCATATACTCTTGTAATTTTACAATTGGTGAAATTGGTAATCAGTGAAATCATGATGATAAAAACACATTCTTTAATTGGTAGGCCTGGTGATTTTCCATTTATAACTGTTACACACAGATATAATCATATTTCTTCTGGGCATGGCCAATTTCACTTGCAATTCAAATTCCTCAAAGCAGTAAGTAAGGGGGGAAGTGAGAAATGTGGTATTGTGAGCCCCCACCATAGTTTTACCCCCTAACCTCCCTGTCAAAAACACAGTTATATTAGCAGCAAACCAACAAATGTCTTGATTTTATGTTGTCATTACAACAATTTTTAAGAATGCTCCCTTAATTAAAACTGATTGTATATTTTTATGTTAAAACATATATTTCTTTTCTCTTTCAATGTGTAGCTGTTAGTTTCAAAAACATATTGCTCCTTTAAAATATAATTAATTTAAATATTTTCTCAAATATATACATATGGAACAAATAGAAAAGAGAAACATTCTTAGTTACCGTGTCCTATCATGGGCTTGTTTGTAAACAAAAATAAGGCCTACCACAGGTAGATTAATAGAAGAAAATTCTATAAAAAGAAACCATGTTGCATATTACTATGATTCTGGGACAAATCTTACTTTCTAGCTTGTGTCTGGTTTCATGAACAGTTTTGTTCCTCTATTAGATTTCAAGTCCAATGCCATAGCTAGTAAGAGTCTGGACAAAAATTTCTGTTATGAATCAGAGTTTGCATTAACTCTGGAAAAAGGCAAAATAAAAAATCATTTCAAACATAAGTCTCAGCATCTTTTATATTTTCTTTATTTTAATAAATTTCTTATAAAAATACCTAAAACTGTGCCTAGCAGAGGATAATCTCATGATAATAAACAACAGCTAATATCTATTACTACCTAGGTCTAAGCAAATGTTTCTTGGAAATAAATGAACAACTGAAAACGAAAGAAGCAGACAACTATTGCCTGTGACAAAAAACATTCTGGAAGAGTTAACCTATTTGTTGGTAAGGAATGTGAATAGTCAGAGCAAAGGTTTTAGGAGAAAAGATATATTATTATATATTAATATATTCATTAATATAGTTAATATAATAATATATTATATATAAATAGATGTATATTAAATAAAATACCTTGTTAAATGAATATCACCTATTTATCTTTATTTTTACTGTAGCACCTATAAAACTTAAAATTACATATGAGAGTTATACTATTTCTAATGGCCAAAACTGGGCTGGACAATTATTTGGCAGTCTAACTGCATAAGCCTGACAAAATATAGACCAACCTCCAAATACATCTAGAGCAATGTTTGATAAAGTATGAATAATTTTTGTAAAAAATTTCTTTGTAAAAAATGAATAATAATAATCTCTTTGCAAATGAATGCAAATCTTACATTAGGAATTAGAAATGTGGCTGCAACATCTAAACCATATTCTAGACCTTTGTGGACCAGGCAGACTCTGTCATAACTATTCAACACGAAAGTTAACCATAGACAATCAATAAACAAATGGGCAGGACTGTGTTCCATTAAAACTTTATTTATAAAAACAGGCCAGCTGAATTTGGTCCCTAGACTATAGTTTCTCAACTGCTCAAAACCCATGAACTCAGATTTCAAAATCCCAAAGTGAGTTTTAAATTAACCATGTTTGTCTTAAACAGCAACAGTAAAGCACAAGAAAGGTTCATATCAGCTGGAGAAGAGCAAAGTTGCCTCATTTGGAAAAAGATGGAACACACTAGATGAGACAGAAATGATGAGAAAAGTACAATTTCTTTGTCTCTAGAATAATTCTAATAAAGTTAACAAGAAAAGACTTACATTTAATTCTATTATCCACAGTAATGTTACAAATAAGAGGTCAAAGGTGACAAACAAACAGAAAGTCCTTCTGACATCAGATATGCCTTTCTTTTCCCTTCCTTCATAGGATTCAATCCTGGCCATGAGTTGGGTAGGGTTGATGGAATGGATGTCTCGCAAAGAAGCGTGAGAGCTCTGGCTCCCAGTGAGAGCGTTCTCCATGTCTTCTGTCAGGGGGTTCATCCTGGAGGAGGGTTAAAGGAGTCTTTGGCCAACTTCACCATCCCTAGAAAGAAAAGGTCTTTGGGAATGAAAAAGAGAGAGACATCAATTTAAATCAAAGCTTACCCAACCCATGTGCAACTCCTACCACTCTGCAACTCTTTCTCTAAACGAGCAGGAGTACCCTAAACTGAAGACAATTATGTTTTGATGAAAACATGAAAAGATTGTGAAATGAGGAGCAATTCTTGATGTTATCAATCAATACTATAAAACTGCTATGAAAGCCTAGTAACAAAGAAGAATGCAAATTACCAGCAGTAAAGGGTAAAAACATGATACTGACCACAACTATGAAGTATAATTGATAACCCATACCTAGCCCCTTAGGGAAAAAGTCAAGTCATTTCCCTGGCTGTACCATGGACTAGGAAACATTCATTGAATAGCTTCCCAGAGAGTCTATGTAGCTAGAACTAGAACCAGAATGTGTAAATGTGTTATAAAAAACCTTTTCCTAAAGAGGAACTGTTTTCCACCAAAGGTATCTAATAAACTGAATTTAGCATTTCCCCATCATATCTTAGTAAACAGGTATTTTTCTGGGCTTCTTTTTTGGGCAAGAAGTATGCACATCCCAAGAAGTTCAGCACTATAAATATCCCAATGATAATTATGGACATTAGATCCCTCTTTTAAGAAAAATCTCTGTTAAAAAAGACTGTCATGTTATAATAGTCTTAATTAGATAATAACCTCAACATCTATAAATATGGAAAAATTCTGTAAATCATGATATAGCCACAGTACAGTCATTAAAATAATTTCTCTGAATATTCAATCCTTTGTATTGAGATTCTCATGGGGTTTGGCTTAAGGAAAGCTGTGTCTCTTTAAAGAGGGTGTGAAGTATCAATTAGCTGTACACCAGGAACCGAGGTTCACAATTCAAGATTTATTCCAACCATGATGGATGAGAAGTAGAGTGGAGAATTATAAAAAATATCCCCTTATTGTTTTATGGGATTCATGTCTTGTTCTATAAATAACTATTATTTCTACTACAGCTATAACTTCTATCTCTCTACCTAGCTCTATTATAGCCACATATTTCTATAATCATGCTGCATTTATAAACTACCCAACTCAACAGCTTAAAATCGCCTGCACTTATTATCAAGTTCACAAGTTGGTAGGTTGCCTGAAGGTCAGCTGAACTAGTATGGGCTCAGCTGGGCAACAATGCTTCGGGCTTGCAGAGCAGACCGGTTTCAACTGTGTGTTGGGTTTAGATCTGTTCCCTATATCTGTCTTCCTCTTTGGACCCGTGCTGCCCAGGCATGTTTATTCCATGGGAAACGGCGAGCATACATGAGACAAGCAATATCATATAAACACAATAAAAATATCTGTTCAGGGCCTCCCCTGGTGGTGCAGCGGTTGAGTGCTGGGCTGTGAGGCTGCCCACAGTCTTTGCAGCACCGGTTCATTCCCCGGCCGCCAGCGAGGGGCCCACCAAAAAAAAAAAAAAAATAATAATAATAATAAAAAAAATCTGTTCATATTGGGTCTTCTCACATTTAACTGGCACCTTAAGCCCAAGCCCTAGGGTAGTGCAGATGGAACGTTGTACACCCCAGTGAAAGGGGAGGAGTTAAATAAATATTTGCTCATAATGCCCCAATCTCACATAGTTATGAAAGTTTTGAAATCAAAGTCAACAAACTATAGCCTGAAATAAGGCCTGCTAATTTTAGAATATCAAGCTTCATTAGAATACCACCACAAAAGAGCATTCCTATTCTTTAAGGACCCTTATACATTAAGAGAACAAAGGTAAATATTTGCAATTAAGAACATCTGATTTGCAAAGGCAAATATTTATTTTACTATAAGCTCTTATCTAAAAGGAACTGTTAGCTTGACAAGCTTCTAGAAGGGGACCTGGGTGAGTTTAGTAACTTACATTCACACGAAAGAAGAGACTAAATCACAAATATCAATATTTCTATACTCTAGTTTCTGTGTTTAGCAAAATCTTGTAATACATTCTTATTTTTCCACAGGTTACTCCGCACAGGTTACTTAGTGAAATAGCACCACTTAAGAACAAGTGGTCTTGTCTTCTACTGGCTCTGGCTCACCTGAAGGCTACTTCAGCAGTGCTCAAAACATGAACATGCTATTTTTTGGCTGATTCTCTTTCCTTTTTTCCACACTACTAGAATTGGAGAAATAGTTTACCCAATCTATACTGGTAGATTCTTAAATGATGACATTCATCCCATGAGGAAAAAGAAAAAAGACTAAAAAAAAGGGAAGGCAGTAAAAACTACTATCTTTTCTGCTCCCAAAAAGAACTGTTTACTTTTTTGGGATTCTTCTGCATTAGCACCCATGCTGAGTTGAAAACTGAACAAAAATTTCAGCTCCATCTGCTACAGCACAGAATTGATATACCCACATGGTATACCAGCAGCAGCTTGGGAGCAGTAGCTACCACTGCTAGCATTTTGCAAAAGTTCCAAAATTTCTCACATCTTTCTAGGAGGGGTTGAGAGAGTACCCAATGGTAGTAAATATGGCTTGATGGGCATGTTTTGCTTGGTCTTACATAGTGTTTCTGAAGATTTTTAATAATTATTGATATTTTGAATAATACATTTTGTACAAAAATCCAGATTTCCTACTTGTCTTTACCTCTGAATGAGATGAGAAGACACTGAAAGGTTTCCAGTATTAGAGAAATATGTTCCAGCTCATGTTTTAAGAGACCGGGGAAGGAGATAGAAACAGGAGCCCATTTAGGAGACTGCGCACTAATTCAAGAGAGGAGGCACTGACTTAGTAGACTAGAGTGGTGGAAAGCTTGCTGGTTCTAAATACAGAGTCAGAAGCATTTGGTGAAGAGTTGAGATTGAGATACAGAATAAAGGACAGACTAAAAGAGAACTGCCAGATTTGTAGCCCGAGGAATGGAAGAATAAAGTCGCAATTTACTGAAATGGGGAAGACGGAGGAGGGACAATTTTGAGGATAGTATCAATTCAGATAGTATCAATCCACAAAGTGTTAGATGATTAACATCAAGAGGAGATAAGGTAAACATGGTTGGAAATACATGATTATTTTGGACCTACCCATGATTCTCCCTCATTCTGATCTCATTAGTACTGTCAGCTGTCAGCAGATACTAACTCAGAGGAACCATGTTGCTCCTCAGTGCACATATTCTCATGAATATTTAAAGCTTCCTCTTAGAGTTGTGTTGCCGACTGTAGCAATGGTGGAGTCAACAGGGTTATTACTATCTAGACAGAGGAAGAAGGTCCCTCAATTAAGGAACTGGAAGTATTTTCCTATTCTATGAGGACATTTCTATAATGCTACTTCTTCAATTCTTACTGAAAGCAATTTTCAAACACTTTTAATTCTCAGCATAAAATTGACAATCTTATTGATCTAGATCTAAAAATCAGTAATATTCATGCAGTGAGTTCACTGCTCGCCTAGAAAGCATAGGGAGGTGGTTAAAAGTATATACCTTTAGTGACTATCTTTCTTTATTTCAGAGATCAGAATTAAGATTGTGTTGATCAAGAATTCTTCATACCTCCTCCCCAGACCTATTTTCTCTACACAGAGGAAACAAAAGGCAATTCTAAGCAGCCAGATGATAAAAAGGCAGCAAAGCTCAAGTGGCTATTCAGCAGCAAGCTAGGTTTCTCTTCCGTCAACATCAAACACCCCTTTTCTGGAAGAGGAAATATAAGGGTTTCTGCAAATGTCGTAACAATTGACAGACCCCTCTTTCACTCACTGCCTCTGGTGATTCTGGATCTGGCAGACAGGCAGCATTAAGAGCAATGCTAGGGAAGTCATCACATCAATTACAGCTGGAGTTACCTGAGGCCAACTTCCTATTTCACAAACTAGAGTAAATCACTAAAAGGGACTGCTATTCATATCTTTGCCCAGGCATATCTACCAACAAGCAGAGGAAATTACATGCTATCTTTTATACTTTGATGAACTAGGATGACACACAGTTCCTAAAAAGTTCAGTAACCCCTACAAGAATGAAGGTTTGAGGTCTACAGTTTGTGCATGTAACAGATAAGGAAGGTCAATCTCAAAATCTTGATGCCCAGATTTTAAAAACACTAGTACCTTTTTCTCTCTCTCTCTCTTTTTTTTTTTTTTCCATCAGACATCTTAGGTGGTAAGACAGGAAACCAGACCCTCAACAAAAGATCAGCATCAAATGACTTTTCCACCCGGTTTGTGCTTCAGAAAACAGAATCACATAAAGACCACTAATGATGTGACTCAGTGCAACTACAGGCTAATATAAAAACAAAGTACAGATTATAGCCTAATAATGAGAATGGGCTCAAAGCACATGTTATAGAGGCAGAGGATACAAAAATATGATCTCTTTAAGCTGACGAGGTTTTCAATAAAGTTTTGAAGTAGAACTATTCTCAAAAAAATTGCTTAAATTATTTGCTCTCAAGTAATTTAAGCAATTACAAAATGAAGACAAACCGTAAGAATGAATTAAAAATACAGATATTGATATATATGATCTATAATATATATCTCCTTATAACATTTTCACTTAATAATTATACAATTCAAAAGTTTACCATATGAAAAATTAACCAATAACAATGAGTAAAAGCTTGCTTACAGTTTTTGTCACTAAGATAATATGCTAAGTTTGATTCTGCTGTTAGTTTCATCTTCCAAACACTCCTAAATACTGAAGGTATTATTCCCCCTCATATCTCACATTGGATATTTCCCATGGTTTTCCCAATCATAAATCCATATTACTCCAATAAGTCAATCTAACTTGTCTCCAAAACAATCCCCATACTGCTATCATGCTAGTTTTTCTAAAATGAAAAAACCAAAAAATTTGAATGAATAATTTCATCCCTCTACTTGAAACTCCGATTCCCTCACACCCTGTGATGACCTGTACTAACCCTATTTTTACTTTCCTTGTTCAGGAGGTTTCACCATTTGTGTCTTTGCCCTAAGACTCCTTCTTGTGTGGAGTTGTCTTTCCCT